GAAATAAAACCTGAGCAACACAACTGATCAGGGCCTGACTGGAAATAAAACCTGAGCAACACAACTGATCAGGGCCTGACTGGAACTAAAACCTGAGCAACACAACTGATCAGGGCCTGACTGGAACTAAAACCTGAGCAACACAACTGATCAGGGCCTGACTGGAACTAAAACCTGAGCAACATAACTGATCAGGGCCTGACTGGAAATAAAACTTGAACATTATGGCTGCTCAGGGGACTGGCAGGAACTCTTTATCAACAGAGGGTCTTTATATACAGGCAGCTATATACTGACTTAGCCAGAAAAAGAGGATCCATTGTACTTGACATACTATACGCTGGAGGTTGACATGACAAGTTTGACTGTATGTATGTGTGTATATATATATATATATATATATATATATATATATATATATATATATATATATATATATATATATATATATATATATATATACACACAAATACATACATACACACACATTCACAAATTCCCTCTCTTTTCAATAGCCTATTTACTTTTCTCTTAAGGATTAAAATACACAGGAAAACCTTGAAATATTTTTAAAAAAATGCTGTACCAGAGTATGGCCTATTCTGTACAGAAGAAATTATGTCAACATTAAAATAGTCCTCCTCCATATTTAGGTCCCTGTCAAATGGATTAAACCTTTCCTTTCTGTAACTGGTGTTCAGTGTCCCTGAAGATGTAATATCCTTTCTATGACTGTCTCGCAGGAATGTTTCCTTTTTCTCATAAGATTTCTTTGTCAAATCTAACTTTAGTGCAGAGGAGCTTTTTTCAACTGGACTGACTTTTATACTTGATGAATTCTGCGAATTCTGTATATCAACATGCTCTGGACTGCCAGTTTTTATAGAAGAAAACATGTCGCTAGAATCATCCATGATGATCTCAGAATCTGAAGTGTCACTGAAGAAGTCTTCAATATTGGTCATCAAAGCACCAGTTAGTTTCACTGTTGCTGTAGCCGTATCATGGGAATGACTATAACTGTCATTAACCGAAAGGTTGCTGAAATTTGTCGGCAGACCAGATGCTGTTTCCATCACTGTCTCATCAACACTTTCATCATCTTCAGAAGCCTCAAGTGATGAAGCCATGACTCAAAACTGACTGAAAAGAAGAGGGTTTATTAATAAAAGAAACTGTCATCTTCAAAAACATGTTAATGGCACTGTTACACTACAAGTTCTTTATTCAGAGAAATTAACATCTAATACTCTGTATCTGATCAGATGCGTGGTTTCTGCAGACTTAACATAAACAAATTACTTTTCCAAAACTTTTCCAGCTCCATTTCATTAAACTCAAAGACCCCTATTTCTTGCCTTGTCAAGTAATTTAATATAAAGAAAGACTTTTATTAAAAATACTTGTCACATGAAATGAAACCATTTATCAATTATTATTGTCATACATTAATTGGTACTCTGCTTGCTATGAAATTAGCAGTTATATATTTTTTGAATGTCACTGTCAAAAACTCGATAACTTTTCCAAACTTTGCAAGGTTTTGAAAAATTTCATGATTTTTCAAGGCCCTTGTAATTTACTTTTCAAATTCCAAAACTTTTGCAGGATTCCATGCCCTGTGGGAACCCTGTAGATGGTATATAACTGACAGTCACTTAATACAAACTTTTACAAATGTCACACTTGTCTCATGTCAACTGAATTTGGGTATCTACTACTTAAATTAATTTAATCTTGTATCAATCTTGTACAGTATTATCTAGATATCTTTCAAGCACTGACCATTTACCATTTTCAAATCTAATAACTTTAGGGATGCACATTGGTGATGGTGTATATATAAGGTTACTGAAAAGAAAGGAAGTATAGTAGCATATTTATAAATGATAATATTTTTTTAATAGAGTTTAATACTCCATCCATAAAATAGAATACAGATAAATTGTAAGCAAAGATGAGATCTTGTGCATGTGATTCTACCAGTGGTAAAAAAAGAATTTTAAGGCCATCTAATGCTCCTACCATTTTATAGCCATACTACTTTTGAAAATTAACAGATTCTTTTAAAAAATTGAAAAAATAATTTTAAAAAATGGAATGTGTATGTATTCTATCCACACATTACAAAAACCTGCCAGAACCATTCTACTGGCGATAAAAACTGTTCCAGCAGTCATTGTGATAGAATGATGCAGGGAAAATGGATTAAAAAATCCAACTTGTGTACAAAACAAGTACCTAATTGATTACACTACTGTTGAAATCTTTAGAGTTCAGGCCAAATGTGGAAATTAGGTGGGGGGATATGATAAGTAACAGTTGAAAGGTGGGTCATGATGAATTTAGTCTTTGAATAAAAATCATCCATCCTTTGGAAGAAGCGAGATAAAAAGGAGACTGACTAAATAATGATTTCAGCATGTTTTAGAAATATGGAGTTGGAGACAGGGCTTGTGATTTTTAAAAAGTCACTAACATTGAGCTTGTGTCTGAAAAATATTATTTCAACACTGGATGGATTAGCTTAAATCCTACCATCAGTAAAAATATATTTTATCTTTGTGATGCAGAACACTGTGAGTATGCACGGCAGCCTGAATGTTTAATCAAGCACTATAACTGCTGAGAAATTTTCTAACGCGAAAATACGTCGTGTATACAATCTGCGACGGGATTTTGTAAACGAATGATAAAAAAAACTGCAACCATTTGTGACTTCGCGTTACAGTTTTCTGCATGTTTAATAATGTATATTATGTAGTAAGATTGTGTCCAATATTAAATGCAATAATGAACACGAAGCGCTAATTCTTGCAGTTATTGCCCTCCCGCCCCCAGTTCTAAGTCCCATGAATTCTATTTCTTTTGTACCATTATCGATACTTCCAACGCAAAGTGTTATTCGTCCCTTTTACATTTTTTTTTTCAATCAGATTTCAACGATAAGTCTCTCAAGATCGCTAGATCACAGGCACAATGTTTTCAGTTATAAACAAAATACAAACATTGCCAATTCTTCGCACATGACAGAGAGATAGGAAAGGTAACTCTAACTGACCATGCGCATTTTGGTATTGTCTGTGCAGCTCTTTGTTGAGAGACAAGGATTGGGGGTGGAAATTTTATATTAGCCTTATGCATACACCTTGCAAATTTAATAAAAGAATAAAATAACATTGTAATACTTTACAATAAAAATAGAATAAAGAAAAACCCAACTGAGAGATACCAATTATTTCGTAGTCACGAATATATATATATATATATATATATATATATATATATATATATATATATATATATATATATATATATATATATATATATATATATATATATATATATATATATATATATATATATATATATATTCTAGATGATTCAAAATGATTAAACCATGTGAAATATTTTTTAATTTTCGTCTTGCTTGAGATAACAGTTTTTGTATAAAAATTAAAAATTAAATGAAATGAGATAAATTGAGATAGGAAAAAAAAAACAAAATTATTTTGTTGGTTTTTTTGGGGGGGGTTGGGGGTTGCCCATACAACGCAGTTAAAATATTAAAGTATTTAAACATAGCAGATCACATGTGTCTTAAGGACAAATATACAATGCACGTCTACTGCAATAGATCAACAAGTAGGTCTCTGCTTTTTTTATTTTCTGCTGTCAGAAAGAAAATAAACAGAGACCTACTTGTTGATCTACTACTGCAACAGAACGTGTTTGTTATTGTTAAGAATTAAAAAAAAAAGTTCCCTGTTATTTAGATAGTAATGTGTTCTATAATCCGATGATTTAAACCAATATCATAGTTCTACCAAGATTTCAAGATACAATTCATACTATGTCCACCAGTGGCGTGGGAAAACAGTCAGGTATTCCTTCAAGATGTGGTAATAAGTCAAACTTTGTGTATAAAAAGACGAATGCCAGAGCTAAACATGTATACCTATTTTATTACGCCATTCGAAATGTTGTTGTTGTTGTTGTTTTTAGGCTTAACGCCATTTTTCAGCACCCGATGGGCTATTCATGGCGGCCAGTATTATTGGTGGAGGAAGAAACCGGGAAATCCGCGGAAAGAACCACCGACCCACGAGAAGCTACTGGCAAGCTTTCTCACATAACCACATTCGCCGAGCCGAATCTTAGACTCGAACACACGCAGACAGAGGTGAGATGGCAGTGATCCGTAACGGACAGCGCTTTAGACCACTCGGCCACTCGGGGACCCCCATTCGAAATGTAACGTGAAATATAAGCGTAAGCGTTGATTCTTGAATAGGTCGCGTGAGAAGTAATAATAAGCGTCCTGCTTCTAAGTAATATATATATATATATATATATATATATATATATATATATATATATATATATATATATATATATATATATATATATATATGATTTGTAGGTAGATTAAAAGCAGTAATACGACATGTGCACTGTTCTAGCCTGGACAGCTTCGTAGTAGACGAAGACTTTTATAATAACCAATAACTGGTTTTCTTTTCATACATTCACTGAAGTTTGTCAACAGAGGTGAGAAATAAATGGTGTTGCAATAGGATTTGAATAATTTAATTTTTATCTTCAAAGAAAAATGTCTAATTCTGCGTACAAACATGTACGTTCAAGTACACAGAACTCTGTTCTGTCTCATATCTTCCTCATCTGACCGATTAGCTATTCAAAAATTAGCCCAATACTGTTGACCTGTGCAAGAACATGAAATTTAAGAAGTACAGAGGCAGGGGATTGTAATTTGAAAGAAGCTGACTGAAAGACCATGGATACCGATCTTTGTTTGTTATATATGTTTTCTTTCTTAAATGTACAATGCTCACATCTCTAAAAATTTCCTTAAACCTGCGATGGAAGGGCTTATGAACGATATCTCATCAGCAAATTTACAATTGTTAATAAATAACGCATTTGGTATCAGTTATATCCCCATGTGACAATGACACAGTTTACGATTTAAATCTACTGCTCCGGTGGCCCAAGTGGTTAGAGCTTCCGCATCGGATGCAGGAGGTCGCGGGTTCGAACCCTGACCGAGTCATATCAAAGGCTTCTAAAAATAGTACCAACAGCTGCCTCGCTTGGCGCTCAGCATTAAGAAGTTAGTGTTATGAATAGTCGGCCTGGTGTCATTATCATGTGACTGGGTGGGCATGATATTACCTGTCTGCGGCATGATGCCTCACTATAAACTGCCACACTGCAGACATAGCAGCGATATGACTGAATTTTTTTAAAGCTAAGTTCTCTGTACATACACATACACACAAACACACACACACACACACACACACGAGATTTAAATCGGATATGTATATATCAAATGACACAGGCGAAAGAACGCCTACCTGCCCCACTCCATTGGTTACATGCAATAAATTGGATAATGCACTTTCCCAACGCATATACTACAACAGTTTGTCATACCACGTAACAAGAGCATGAACTATTAGACGGATATTTGATTGTCGAACAACATTTAAACAGTGCTAAATGATTGACCCTCCCAAATGCCTTACTCGCATTTAAAAATATGCAAGCACAGGGCTATCATGTTCTAAATAATAGCTTCTCACAGATTCCTTGAAGGCATACGTCTGTTAAATATTGTTTTTGCTTTGTTTGAACAGGATAGGAGTCAATTTTTGATTTGTACGGAAAACTGTCATTTCTGAAAGTTACCAGGAATCAGTTGGTTAATCAATGTTTGTCAGGCGAACTGCATTGTATGTACATAGTTCAGGCGGGAAAAAAATATTTTTTTTGCATTGGACACACTGTGAAAAGAGGTGTAGTTTCACATTAAAACTCGCAGTTTAAGTGTGCTAACAGCAAATTTGAAAATATTAGTTTACGCTTTTCTGCAAAAGAAAACGAACGTAAAATCATCCAGGGATAACGATTGCCTGGAAAAATTGAAGCACAATTTTAGAAAGTAAGAGCTTGAAAAAACAAGGTAATTGGAACAATATTATGTAATTCGTTGATACGACTATAATAATTTCTTGATTTATATGCTAGCATTTGTGATAATTTATTTGTTTAAATTCGTAAATCAATTTTCTTGATATGACATAACTGTGTTGAGTTCGTTTATCTGAGTCCGCACAATGATATTTTTTCTTTATATATACATTGACGGCTCGTTTAAGGTATAGTCTTGATTATTGAAGGAAATTATGTATCTAAAATTTCATGCCTTATTTTATATAGAAAATTATATATCTAGAATTTCATGCCTTATTTTAGTTGAGATTACGAGAATCCCCGTGAATTCCCCGACCTTATATAAGGTCACATATGATAACGATTTTATTGTGTGTATTTGTTATAAATACCGTAGTGTAAGGAATTTCATTTATTCTTTTGTGTAATGGAGACTAGCCTGGAACTAATGTCTCTGTGTGGGGATGAAATAGTCATCAGCAGGACCACTAATTGCATGAAACTAGGTTTGTTACGGTCTGTTATGGCCAATTAGACAAGACAGCCGTATTATTTGTTTGAATTCCCATAGATGCATATCTAACACAATGAGGTGGGGATTGATCTATTTCCCCATCATAATGTGACTGAAGATTTAGGTTGCTCTTGTTTATATTTTTGGAAGGTGAGATAGCTTCACGAGACATATTAACCTGACGTGGCAATACGTCTCAAAGGGCAATGGACGTGGCAATACGTACCCAAAGGGGATACACAAAGCTGGAAGGGCCGAAAGTGGCGTGATACCTGAGAATTTGAAAAAGGAAGGGAAACAGTGGAGCAGACCCAGACTTACCGGCACAAGGGAGTCAAACGGAACAGTCACTGTGGAATTGGATTGACTCAAGACATCAGGTTATGGATCGATATTATGCAGTGTTTTTCGATGTTTCACTCGATTCGATGATGAAATAATTCTATCGTTTAACAGATCGGTTATTGGTATATTCATATTTGTATTTGAAATTCTTTGAATACGTTAAGTAAAAACAGAAGAAGTGTATCTTCAATCGCAATGCATTATTAATTTTGTTTATGAATTTTATTGTTATGAGTTTTGATTAAATGTTGTCGTTATTTGTAACGGGGGCTCGTGCATTTCTGTTCTATATATCTGCTCAAATCTTTATCTATTCTACCCATAATTTTCACACTTTATATTGATATTTTACTCATTTCCGGGCAAATTTCTGCGCTCACCTCTAGATAACGATAACCATAAGTAACCCACCACAATAAAATTGAGGAGGGATTTCCGACATAGTATGTTGCATTTAAAATAATTGTCGTGAGGGTTATATGTCTGTAATTAATTTTATCTGCCAGGTTGTCAGTGTTACTTTCTAGCACATGGACAATTGTAACTTTTGTGAATCATCTGAAACAAAATCATTTACAAACATGCAATTAAACAAAAAAATTGAAAAAACACGAAAAAATCTGGAAAGTAAGCATTTTCTAGATATAAAAAAACAGCAATCCATGACATTTGCTGAGATATGGTACGCAAATTATATTACTCCTTATTCGATTGGATTTTAACACTATTAAGTAAGGCTTCAAAATGCAAGACCGTTTCCTTTGCATTGCTAATTTAGTAGTGAAATATTTTCAACTCTTTTACCATTCTACAAAATTGAAACATATTTTTTTTATATTGAGAAATAATACAATTACTTACACACTGAAAAAAATCGTGAAGACAGGGCTCATGCAAAATCTCACACACATACATACATACATACATACATACATACATACATACATACATACATACATACATACATACATACATACATACATACATACATACATACATACATACATACATACATACATACATACATACATACATACATACATACATACATACATACATACATACATACATACATACATGCATGCATGCATGGATATATAACATTGGTTTGAATATATTAAAGCTTTTATCACATTTACTTTCAATTTATCTTGATACTGTATATTGTCCTTTATCGCCCCGTCCACTGTCTGAAACAGAGTCTTTAATTCTTTGTAGACTGCATCTCTCGTTAATGTCATGACAAATACTTTGGTTAACACTAATAAACACTTATTCATACAGTCAGAAAAAATATCGATAATCCCGTTATTATTATTTTTGAAATTGTAATAAAGACAAAGACGATGCGGGAGAAAAAAACTGATTCCCCTTATTCCAATCAATAAGTCCGCATACAAATCCTTACTAACTATTCTAATGAGACAATCAGCTTCTTGACTTTAAATAAAATTTCTTGCATCTAAGTAACTTTTTTTGCATGTGCATCCTCTACTTAACATTTGATTGCAACAAGACGCTCAACGGATGGCTGCATCAGTAACCCTGTTTAGAATAGTGTGTCCAGACAGAAAAGTTCATGCCGAGCTGTCGTTATAGATGATCAAAGGTGGTTTATTGCTATTATAATTTCTGAAAATTTATAAGGAATACGTACGTTTGCGGTATATTTCATAATGAAATCAGCATTTTCTAATCTGTTATTTATATCGAAGTATTAGGATTTTCTATCGCAAACAAAATAAGCAATTTTCAACCACATTTTTAATCATCCTTTAAGAAAATGTTGATATTAAATTTATTTGACATATCTAATGTTTAATATGTAAATAACAACAACAACAACAACGACAATAATAATAATAATAATAATAATAATAATAATAATAATAATAATAATAATAATAATAATAATAATAATAATAATAATAATAATAATAATAATAATAATAATAATAGTAAACATAACCCGATACCGTAATATTGTGTTTTCCCTGATTATATGCACTTTTAGAGAAAGGAGTTATTAAGGATGAAATACAGATTTTTTAAGTTCCAAAACAGTACATTCTTGGATTGAGGTTCTGCATACCCACACTGCCTGAACACTTTAAAATATAGACCAAAATTTAAATATAATAATTAGTGTTTGGCTTCGAGTTCAACAATTATGTATAAAAATACCATCGTGATTTTTCCCCATTTGGTTCTGTAACTTATGAAACAAAACGATTATTATAATAAATAATAAGAAAGCTTTAGGAGCACAAAAATTACAGTTTTATGTGACTTTTTGCCCTCTAAACCTGCTTTTTCTATATGCTATTGCTGTTACCGTACACTTAATTTTTCTTTATGCCGTAGAACGGTGACCCCTGTGCAATGCATTAAACAAATGATATACTATGCAACAAACGGTACATCTGGCTGAAAGCATGCCAAGATGAGTACGAAGAAACATTATTGTTATCTTTTAGGCATAGCTTCTAAAATAGTAAGAAATAAAACACCCACACCCACCACCAAAAAAATGAAACCGGTGAACTGTCAAATTCACAAATTACAACCCAATATCATATATCTCTAGTCTCATAATCTTTTGGACCTATGTTTTCTTTATTGCAAACACCGAAAAGTTATTTTGGGAATACAAAAGTAAACGCGATTGTTCATATCTATTTTGTTTTGATTTTGGCGATACATTTAAAAACATATTTCGAAATGATATGGTAGAAACAATGGAAGGTCTAATTCGCATAAGGATATTTTCTATATAAATGTACTAGCTGAAAATAAGCCTTGTGCATTCTCTTACTATATTTGCCAAAACAGGGAAAGAATACAAACAAACAATATAGAAATGTATGTGCACTGTTTCTCTTTATCGTATCATATTTCACATCGTCTGAATTAATCTGATACTTGGTCCAAATCGGCCGTAACTTGGTCCGCATTAAACATAATATGAATCAGCCAGTATTCTTTCCGTAGATGTAAAGGTGTCTATTTTTTATGTGTTTCACAGGATTCTGGAATTAGCTACCCAACATATACGATAGTTGTCGTGTGTGCATATGCTAATAAGCAGTATACGCGATTCTATTTGAAAATGGGGTAGGGGTTTATTTTTATTGGTTTGACTTGCGTATGGTGACTGAAAGACATCCGTGTCCGTTATACCCACGCAGCTTTTGAAGCACGACCTGAATTTTTGTTTGTTGGGGTAAATTCGTAAC